TTCTTGGCGTCCGGAATATCGAAGGATCGGGGTACTCGGTGGATAATCGTTCGAAATATTCGCTAGCTTCGGCGTCGTGCAACGCGCCTAAACAATTTTTATTTTCACGTTCTCGTCGGTGAGATGTCGAAGCTCGGAGTCTCGCCTTTAGTGGTGTTCTTTGCTTGACCAGGTTACGATTTTTTTTTTCGCAGAGTTACGCCGACTTATGCGAGGGCACCACTACTAGCGCTAGCTACCGATGGTTATTTAAACAAAAGTTTGAACTGAAAAATGTTTGAACAGCTCTTACAACTATTGGTAACTCGTTCTTTCAAAATCAAGTGAAATTTTATTTTTATTTTTTTTCGCCGAACTTGGACCGAAGTCCACCGATGCAAGGTGGATTGTCGATCAATAAAACTCTCTCGCTCTCCACTCTCAGGCGGCAGTGTTCCTCGCCCCTCGTCCTCGTAATAGAACAGGCCACGGGACAGGGACCGTCTCACCGCAAACTCGAACGCTCGATACTTCTCGATTTTCGATTTTCGATACACCCAAATGATATCCGTCTCCAGCTTCTGCCAGACGTCTGTCTTTCCTCCCCCTCTCAAGCTTTAAGATTTCAGTCCTTTTTCGGAGAGCGAAACCATTAGCTCAATTATTCACTTGAGCCACCCCGATTGATTCGTGAATGTTTAAGTAACCCCCAGCATAGTCTTTCTTCTTCAATTTACAATTCGAGACATAATTTATGGGAAAATTTATAAAATCGTCCTGGACCCTAAATACCTTAAGAAATGCTTTCTTTTTTCAATTTTTGTCCAAAGAAAGACAGAAAATCACGCGTGGGATACATCGATGTAGAACCCTAAAACGTAAGCGTTTCCCGCTCACGGTTCGTCGGAACAGTGTCGCTTGGCCTCGGACCCCACCTCTCGATACATCTCGATTTTCGATTTTCAATAGAGCCGATAATATCCGTTCGCAAGCCCCCCTGGCAGACGGTCTCTCCTCTTCTCAGCGTGCGCCAATCCGTTGGCTAACCCGCGAGGCTCGCTTTTCGAACCGATTCGCGAACGTGCTCGACGCGAGCGGTATGCGAAAATTGAAAACCAATGAAAAGGCTCGCCTCCCGTTCCCCTCTCCGTCGGGACGACGGCGATTTTTCCGCCCGCTCGTTCATCCTTCTGGTCTGCCCTCCCGATAGCCGACCCTTCCCGAACGATGACAAATATGAATGGTCTCGAGCCCAGGAACTTTAATTACCGTCACTATCGAGCGCCGTCCGCGGCAAAAGAAATTAAACGCACGCGATACGTTCACGTTGATGCCATTGACGCTGGACTCGAGCGCTTTTTTTTACGGCTGCTGCGATGGATAAATGGATGCGCGAGATGCCCGATTGGAAGATTTTCATTTTGGGCCTCGCGGAAAGTTTTTTTTCTGATATCTGCCAGCAACTCGAGACGTTTCTTACCATTCTATTACCATGAATTCCAAGATATCTGGATTTGAGAATAAGGTTACCTTTACCTCGCCCGACGATCATTTTATTGACACTTGGTGCTCCAAAGAAATTAAACGTAAAGAGACATCAGTGTCCAGCATGTCCGCGCGTTAAGACGGCACTGTCTGCGCTTAAAATACGCCTGATTATTATTGGGAGCGTCGTAGATGGCTCCACAATAGCCTGGAATCGCTGGATGAACCCGAGGGGGGTGAGGCACGAGATTCTGAAACCAACCCTGCGAAAGCGATCCTTTATTTTTTGCTAAATCCACCGCCGAGCAGCCACCTTAAATAATAAACCACGCGGAGAAAGGAGCTCCCGATAACAACGGCAAGCGTAGCGAAAACATCGTTTTCCCCGGAACGCGAGGGGGGAATCGTTGAAAGAGGGGAGAAAAACGAAAAGCAGCGAGACCTGTTTTGACCCGTTCCGAGCAACGGGCCGGGACAAAAGGTACAAAACGTTCCCCTCCGCTGAAAGGAAACGGCGAATTTCGCCTTCCACGGCGCACGGTAAACCGTACCTAGACAAGGAGGGCCGTGGGAGGGGTCGAAGTGGGATTAAACTACGAAGAAAAGTGGCTTCTAAGGCCACGTCGAGAGGCCGAAAGCTGGAACACCTCGCCAGCCAATGGGAACCCCCCTTTATCTATGTCGTTCTAGCCCGAGGGCCATGGTCTGTGAATTTCAGGAGGCGTGCTCCAACCTGGAGCATGGATTCCACGCGAACAGAGCGAATACACGTGTATCTGGTTGCCGAAGTTCGAGGCTTCTTTTCTGAACGTTCCATTCGATGAACAGAGGGTTGGAGGGGAGTTTAAGGGGAAGGTCGAGGCAGTTTGGAAGGGAGGAACTTCTATTTCTACTTGAAAGTCGTATTTCCTTGTACTGTTCGCAATTCAGGCGAAGAGCCTAGTAGCCTAAAATCAGTGCTATATACAGCCTAATAATTATTGAGATACCTTATCTTACCCGCGTAGGCCCAAGAAGTTATAGCGGGGGCCTACTACTAGCGCCGCCAGCGGAGAAACAGCGAACACCGTTTCTACACCTACGAAATATGATACTTCCAGGCCCCAGAAAGAAGTTTCGAAGAAAGTTTGATCGCCGTCCGCGATTGATTCATAATTCGAGCGAACTGAATCCCAAAGTGACCCTAAAAATAATAATCCATGCCCCCGTGAACCCTTTTAGAACGCGCAGAGTTCGTAGTTCCGTTAAATAGAATTACGCTCTCGCGAAATATTGAATGTCGGCCTATAATCGTATCCAATTTCATTTATCCACTTTGGGAGCCCGTTCGAAACGCCGACCCCTGACATTAATGCGCCGCGGAAGCCCTATTAGTATCCAATTCATTGAACTTTACGTCGGGGTGATGTTTTTTTTTTTTTATTTTGTATTTCCCGTTTTGTTTCGCCGAAACAGATCGTAAAGCGATAGTCGTCGACCGAAATAAATAACGCGAAAAGACACGAGCAACGTACGTTCTCGGCGTGTGATTCGATTACACGTGACAGATTGCAGTGCGCGAAATTGATTTCTGGATATCAATATTGTATTAATGTCAGGGGTCAGCGTTTGCAACGGTTGGACAGGACCGGAAGCGACGTTGTGGGGTCGTTGGTGTTCTCTAGGTGTCGATGCTCGGGTCCTGGGTGGAGGCTGGAGACTAGCCAGAGATTTTGTTTTCATATTTTTCATATTTTTAGACATCGTTGTATCGCGGTCTAGATACTCGAGGCAAGGAGTCGAATAAGAACACGGTTGGTGGGATTCTAGGAGCGAAATTTCTAGGCATCGACTAACCTGGAGATTGGCGTAACGTTTGACTCGGTTTCTTCTTTGGAAAATGTTCAGCAGAGATAAAGAAACAAAATTGTAGGTTAGTTGGAGCCTAGACTCGAGTTCGAATCCGTAGTTTTTAGGTTGCATCGATGGTAAATTTAGCAAAAATTCTAAGCTTCGACTAACTTGGTATATTTCTCAGTCCTGAATTAGAACTAGCGACCACTCATCTCTACTTACCTCATCCTATAACTGCCATCGTCTAATCCTTCCTGTATATTCGAGTCTTGGCTTAGCCTACATACAGAAGTCCTTCCTGTCCCTTCGGCCTCTAACCAGACGTGTCGGATGCCTCACCCTAAATTCAGGACGCAGGCTTCCAAGCCTTTCTCGCTCTCCGTACAGGGGCTATTTGCGCATAGGGAGTACGCGTACACACAGGTACAAACATCAATAGACGTATCGAGTCCTTATTGAACCGTTCCACCGCACCGGTCACGTGACCGAAGCCACACAAGCATCGAGGCGATATTATAGTCCAAGATTTTCATTTCCGTCGCGAAGGAGCCATTCGTGTCGTTAAAAGGCCCAGAAAAATGGTCCTTTATCACGCACCCCTGTCACGGTGGAAATAGAGTTTATCAGAGGCTGACGTTTCTTAGCGGACCAGTGAATTACTGGCCGAAGTCGAGGCATTTTAACGTGGAGCTTTTCGCTTCGTTGCTGCGGGATATACCGCCGTGCCGTGCCGGAATTTCAGCCCTCTAATCCCTCCACGATATTGACTTTTCTTTTCTTAATATATTGGCCAACGACGCACGACCACGAATCATAGAACGTGGAAACGTTCGTGTAGGTAAAGCTCGATGTGCGATAAACCTCCTACAATGGAGGTTTCCTGAGTCTTTAAAAATTTACTGTACGATTCCATAGTCCGCTATAAAAGAATTGTTACTTTTCAAACGCAGACGCGCGAAACGTTCGACGAGGTAATTTTTCTAGATACGGAGTCTCTCGCTCGACAGAATAAAAATTCACTTTCCCGATAGCGGTGGCAGAAATACGATCCTAATATACATGTGCAAACGTACAAAGGATGGCGGATTCTTATTCTTCGCGTCCTGTCGCGTCCCGCGGTCTTCCCTTTCAACGTTTTCATCTTTTAACACTTGAACGGCGACGTGTATCGCGGGTTTTCACGATACGAAACGTCGCGTTTTATCTGCGACGCTTTATGGATAGAATAAAGGGCGGAGGAGAAACGCGAGGAACGATACGTCGGTGTGAAAATATTGCTTGGGCATCGAGTCGATGCATGGTATCCGTATTTGTCAGTGGAAATAGAGATTTCAATTTTTTTGGTGAACAAAAACTGACGAGGTGGTTGGTTCGCTGTTTTCTCGCTGATGGCGCTAGTGATGGGGTGTCTAATAACTTCCACTGGACAAGACGAGGGATTCCGTTGAGCTTCCAAAGGAATTGTAAAGATTTACAGAGAGTTTTGTATTCTATGTACATCGCGAGGTATTCGCTTCGATGTCATATTGAAATTCATTTTTTCAGTTTTTTCATTTCATGTTGAAAATGTTTAGTGGTCGATATCCGTATATGGAACGGGGTATTTATTTTCAAACCTTCGTCAGATCTGTACTTGTAAAAATGTAACCAATTATGAATTCATCATTCCCTATAATTCTAATAATGAATTTCGTCTATTCCAGGTAAGAGATCCTTAGAATTCATACTTTACCCGAAAGCTGTCAAAGCGCACAATTCCCCCAACGAGTAAGTAAATCAACAAATAGTTACTCATTGTGAATATTATTTGTATACCTCCCCAAATTAATAAATATCCATACTAAAAAAAGTAGATACCTCAGCTGACGGAACTACCAATAGAACAGATTCTGCCGAACATTTCCATAAGCGTCTTTGAAGTCTTCGAGACACGGTATAAAATAGAAATTATGCCTTTTCCATCTCGAACCTAGACCCATTAACGATCACGGTTATACACCGTACACGCTCCATCCGATAATGACTTTTTCGAGGGCTCGCAGTCGTTCGGCTCCAGATTCATCTCCGGCCATCCCCAGGGTGCCGTATAAATCGATGGAAGCTATCCGTCGATGTAACCAAAGTTTTAGTTAGTTCTCCGGTGCCGGTGATTCGATTCCGGCCCGTGGAAGCGTTGGTAATAATGTCGACGCCACACACACACACACACACACACACACACACACACACACACACACACACACACACACACACACACACACACACACACACACACACACACACACACACACACACACACACACACACACACACACACACACACACACACACACAAAACCCTCCCCCCTCCCCCGCCCGCTAAATACAGAAAACAGAAAATCAAACGAGCCATTCCGAACGTTCGCTCATCTCGAGCTCGATCGGGAAAAGAAATTTAAAAAGAATGCGTACATCGGAATTCATCGCAAGCAATAATCGAGTCGAGAAACGTGGAGTTGCCTCATCCGGCCAGGTCGGTGTACGCCTCAATTTCCGTCGAACGGGAAGATCGGGGTTCGGGAACTCGACTCTGAAGAGGCTCTATCGCGCCAGCAAGCATCCGTGACTTATCTCGTTGTCTTGACATAGTTTCGATGCAGGTCGGTCGATTCGACGATGATCGTCGCGAGGAAAAAAACCGCACGGAGTGAAAAGGGATACTCCGTCAGCTGAAAATATGTACAAGACGAGTGGTGACACGGTGCAAGTACACCCCTCCGCGTGAATGTGAAGGAAAGTAATCTGCCACGGTATTTGTCCGTTGGAAATTCGTTTACAGAATGAATAATTACAGAATGTAATCATTAAATAATTCTTCTCTAATGGTAACTCGCTCTCGGCGTAGACATCGAATTTCCAATGTACGCTGGTGCCAGGCTGACGACAAGCTGCCCATCGAGATCTAATATGCGAATGTGTTCCGTTAATAGAATTTCGATTGCGCGAATTTCGCGTCCATTCGCGGGATAGAGTTTAATCTCCGAGTGCGTTTAGTGGCGCGACGTTGCATTAGAACTCGTCGGTGGCAAATAGATCGTCGCTATGGGTCAGCGAATGGATAGAAAATAGAACGTCCTGTGTCTGTCTACCTTGTTGAATCTGGATAAGCGTCGAACTTTGTTTGCCGGGAATTTTTATTATATTTTTCGACTATGTAGGGTCCAATGATGGACTCCATCGATAAGCCTCGATAACGCAGAGTAGTCAATCGGTAAGGTTCTGTAATTCGTCGGTTATGTAGAACACTCTGTGGGTAAGGCTCGGTAACGTAGAACCCTGAATCGGTAAAACAGTCCTCACAGTGCAGAGCTCGCAGTCGATAAGGCATCTTAGACTCTACTTAGCAAAGCCTGTTCGCGCTCCTCGAAATACATTCTCGAAAATAAATCTAGGTCTGAAAAGTCCGTGTTTCCAGCTGATGGTGGAAATTCCATCTTTATTTTCGCACCTCCACGGATCCGATCTGGACAGAGTTTGATACGATCCGCGAATGTGAGGGATGGAGATTCACGTAACGCGTCGTGCACAATCCAAGGGGGTTGGGGATGAGGGCGAGGGGGAGGAGGAGGAGGAGGAGGAGGAGGAGCGTTGGCCGCGAGGCAATGGTGCATGCGGCGAGCCTGACACATATCAATCAGGCAATGGAATCCTCGGGCGCACTGACGATCCGACAATCCTCCGTTTCCATCGGTCTGCATCCCTCTCGTGCGTCGCGACGCTATCCTCCAGCGTCCCGCGTATCGACTGTGACACGCGGCCGCGCGCATACCGTTATCGAGCACGGCCTGTCGTCGGATTGGAATTTCAATGCTAATCAGCTGCGATGTCTGATTGAATGGCGGATACTATGGTCCTTGAACGGACCGCCAGCGTCTGCGAAACGACACCTGACGTTGGAACTCGTGGCTGATGACGTCGCAAGCGGAAAAGTTAGGTCGATATTAGGTTAGGGCGATGTAGGGTTTGAGCAGAAGTTGACGTTAGACGTTTGTCAATTTGGATTTAGGCTGCGATACCGTGGGTCCTTTGGTGTAAGGAAAGATGAACAGTGACTTCTTTGTGATCTCAGATGTGAAGGATGGACAAGGTTCACCGTGATCGAGTCAGGTTTTAGTTGATCGTAGTACTGAATTTTTTGGAGCGCAGATCGATCTTGGCTAGGTCAAGGCCTACGAGTACTCAAGCTCTTTGCGAAGAGGAGATTAGTTGTCTACAAGTCAGTGTTTATTTATCGATCAGTCCCTTGGTCTGAGGGAGGCCTCAGGACGGCTCGTTCGTGTTCCTAAATGCGGAGAGCGATCTTTAGTAGAATTATGTTAAGCCGTGGACAAGGTTCACCAAGATTGACCGAGATTGAGTCAGGTTTCGATCGACTGTAGTATTCAATTTTCCAAAGTACAGGTCGATCTTGCGTAGGTCAAGGCTTCGAGTAGCCAACCCTCGCGGACAGGGTGACGAAGAGGAGATTAGTTGTTGCGAGTCTTGAGGTCAGGTGTCCATCCTCTCCAAACTAGAGCTCGACCACCGGAGGATGCGGTAAATGCTGAAGTTAACCGACAAGGCTGAGTAACGACATGCTCTGACCCTAGCACGAAGTCGAACCTAATCCAGACCTAGCGTTATCTGACAAGAGCACATCCAAAATTTGACACAGAGACACGTTATTAATTCGAGTAAGAAATGGATTCTACTCGCGCATCGGAATCATCGAATGGAGCATTCGCTGTCTGCGAGCCTGTTCGAGTGTTGATTGTCCTCGAATTGGAATTTCAATATTAATCAGCTGCGGCCGATAGGCTGAATGATATGGTCGTTTCTGGATTATTAATAGCGTGGTCATGTCACGACGAGGCGATGCTGATTGAAGAGTCGAATTCTGGGATACGAAATACCCGTTTGGGGTAAAGGAGTTTCATTAATTTCTTAGGAACGATGTATCGGGTCGTTTCAAAAGTTTCTATAAATAAATAGACAAGCTTATCTGTTAGAAATCGATATTATAATTTCAATCAAGAAAAATGAATTGTACTTGTATACTAATAAAACGAAAGAAAGTTCAGGGGCGATCTAATAATTAATTACGATTCGGTTGGTCTCTCGGGAGCAGAGATTCGCCTGATTAAAATTTGCCCAGTCAGTTGAACACATCTTACGCAATCGATAACCCCATCGGAGCAATTCCTATGGTCGATCTATCGCTGGCATCGCTATAGACCATCCTCAGCTTGGAATTTCAGTGCTGATCAATTACCACGAGCCGTTACCTAATTGCCAATCCCCGAGAGTGGCTTCTAGTCTACTAACGTAACATTTCCTTTGACGAGCCGGTGTTTGTCCCACGGTGTGGAGCGATCGAGCGACGAACGTATCCTTTGTTCGATTTTATTTTATTTTCCACGGTGGCCGTTCGTCGAACAAAATCGATCTCGGATCTTTTTTTCGACCGACCTCGCCGTCAAAGCGAACCGCGAAATTAATTTCGTAGGATCGATTTATAGAATTTCAATTTTATTTCCAACTGAAATCTTTCGCCACTGTCTTATTTATTATTAGACTAAAAAAAAAAAAAAATGTATTTTTCTTGGCACTAGAATTGAATTCAAGACACAGATGCTGAATATAATATTTTCTTGTACTGAGTAAGATATTCCAAACAAAACAAGGGTCGTTAAATATGATGAGATAGGTAGCCATCGAACGTCTAATTCTTACCTTGATTTTAAGGATAACTCGGTCTGGTATCGATAGTGTTTATACATAGGGAGGTGCAGGGGTCGTGCAAAGGTGAATCATGTTCGTTAACTACGATGAAATGGACAAACATGAAACCAGTCTCGGTTCGGTTTCAAGCCTAACGCGAGCTAAGTGGCCAAGAGAGGTCAGGCAAAGGTCATTCACTCCACCATTCTCGTTTCCAAATACCTCGGAAATTTACAACAAAAGAACCAGGTCTCCGACTCGCGCAACAACCAAGAAACTGGCCAATTACCCGAAACGACCGAAGGAAAATGAGATGCGGCGCACGTGATCCCAGAGGCGAAGCTCCGTATAGGAGAAGCTACCTTTCCCGTTCGATACGTTGTCGAATCTTCCGATTCTTCCGCGCTGTCGGTGTCGCGGATAACTCGCAGGCCGGGCCCCGGGAAGCTCCTGGCGACAAATCATATGTAACGCCGCGCGAGTCTCGCGAACCGTATTATAAAATGCACGGGAGATAACCGACCGTCTGGACGGGGGCCGCTCGAGACCCTGCATTTTTATTCCCGGGGACGCGCCAACCCTCCCGCCTACCCTTCTAGAATGCGATCGGGATATTTACGCGCGAAGATTTCACGGGAGGTCCGTGCAACGTTTGAATTCGAGATCGCCTGGATTTGTACCGGGTGAGCGGTTTAAAACGCATTATCGGAATTACGGGCGCGAGGGATGGAACTGCGGAGGAGGAAACGTACAGCTATGGGTCGTTAATTTCGGTACTCGAATCTGGCGTACCATATTAAAGAATCCAAGTGTCTGACTACTGCACCTCCTTCAACTCTAGCTTTTACCATTCTGGAATTTCTAGCTTCTACCATCTCTAAATCTCCAGCTTCTGCCACCTCTAAATTTCTCCTTTGTATCGTCCCAAAATCTCTAACTTTTACCATACTGAAATTTTTAGCTTCTACCAACTCTAAATCTTCAGGACTCGCTTTCAAAATCTCTAGCTTGTATCATTTCCAAATCTT